CATTTTTTTTTTTTTTTTTTTTTTTTTTACACTTTAAGTTCTGGGATACATGTGCAGAATGTGCAGGTTTGTTGCATAGGTATACGTATGCCATGGTGGTTTGCTTCACCCATTAACCTGTAATCTACATTAGGAATTTCTCCTAATGCTATCCCTCTCTAGCTCCCCACCTCCCAACAGGTCCCAGTGTATGATGTTCCCCTCCCTGTGTCTATGTGTTTTCATTGTTCAACTCCCACTTATGAGTGAGAACATCCAGTGTTTGATTTTCTGTTCCTGTGTTAGTTTGCTGAGAATGATAGTTTCCAGCTTCATCCATGTCCCTGCAAAGGACACGAACTCATCCTTTTTTTATGGCTGCATAGTATTCTGGATAAGGAAAATGTGGTACATAATACTCCTTACATATTTTAAGTTCAGCCTAAAGGTTTCTGTGTACATCCTGAACTATAACAAGTAGAGGTATAAACAGACCGTAGCCTACACTTGTGCCAGTCATGAGTATTGACCAATCAAATGTAACCAACTGTTCAAATCATGTTCAAATAAGGCAAATGCCGAGCTGTAACCAATTCAGCTGTTTCTGTACCTCACTTCTGTTTTCTGTACATCAGTCTCCACTTCTGTTCATAAATTTTTTTCTATGACATGGCTGAGCTGGGGTCTCCCTTAGCCCACAAGGGCTTGGGAGGCTGCCCAATTCACAAATTGTTCATTGCTCAATTAAACTTTTAAATTCAGCTAAGTTTTTCTTTTGTCAGTAGAAACAGGGTTTTACCATGTTGCCCAGGCTAGGAAGCCCCCATTCTTTCTGTAACCTCAAGAGGGTATATAAGTTTCTGCACCCTATTGGGATATTGGGCAATCACTCTGTGATTCTTTTCATGCACATGGTTAAATAAATGTGTATGCCCTTTCTCTTATTAATATGCCCTATTGTGAATTCTTGCCTTGGTTTCCACATACCATGATTTAAACATTCTATTCCCATTCAATGGACATTTCTAGGTACCATTTTGACCCTGCTCCCTTACTGAAGTCTCTTATTGCATTAGTATTTTTTCTATTGATTCTTTTGTATGTTCCTGTATTAAAATATCACTTCTAATTTTATACTTTTTATTTTATTTTCTTGTATTATTTCATTGGCCATTATCTAACCTAAGTTGTTTTTTTGTTTGTTTGTTTTTTCTTTTTAGACAGTGTCTCACTCTCTCACCCAAGCTGCTGTAGTGGTGTGATCCTAGCTCACTGCAGCCCGAACTCCTGGGCTCAAACAATTCTCCTGTTAGAGCAGGGAGATAGCTAGACATGAGCATGAGGGGGAGCCCGGAGAAAGGGAGGTCTGGAAAATCTTACACCCCAGAGACCACTGGAAACCCGCATGCTAGATATGAGCGGAAGGGAGGGAAAATGCCTATGCAGGAAGAAACACCTCAGAACAACTCTTAAGATGCCCAGTAATAGCTCACTCTGTAGTTAATCTGTCAGAATGTAGCTAGCCACATACTGATAAGGAAGGAAAGAGAGCAAAAGGGATGGCGGGGCACGGTGGCTCATGCCTGTAATCCCAGCACTTTTGGAGGCTGAGGTGGGCAGATCACCTGAGGTCAGGAATCCAAGACCAGCCTGGCCAACATGGAGAAACCCCCTTAAAATACAAAAATTAGCCAAGTGTGGTGGCAGTGCCTGTAATCCCAGCTACTCGGGAGGTTGAGCCATTGTCCTCAATGGCTTGAGCCTGGGAGGTGGAGGTTGCAGTGAGCTGAGATTGCACCACTGCACTCCAGCCTAGGCAACTGAGCGAGACTCTGCCTCAAAAAAACAAAAAACAAAAAACAACAAAAAAAAAAAAAAAAAAAAAAAGGGGCAAAGGGGAAATTTCTAAGAGATAAGCAGAGACAATAAGTAGACACATAACTGCTGCTGTATGACCTTCCTAGGGTGGCAGTAATGAGCAATGCTGCCATTAGATAGGATTATACCCAACACCTGTCCATCCATGTGCCTTAACTACCAGTAAAGGAGAATCCCACAAACCTAGGGCGGGAACTAGGCAGGGAAAAAGCAGGGACTAATGCAGAAGCAGGAAGCTAGATGAAGATAAAGGTGGAGACTTCAGACAGAGGCGGGAACTTAAAGAAACAGTCCCAAAATAATAAAAATCTCAACGCAGAACTCTTAGGGCTGCTGGCTCATTTGTTTTTTTTTAGATAAAGTCTCACTCTGTCTCCTAAGCTAGAGTGCAGTGGCACAGTCTCAGCTCACTGCAACTTCTGCCTCTTGGGTTCAAGCAATTCTCCTGCCTCAGCCTCTCGAGTAGCTGGGACTACTGGCACCTGCCACCATGCCCAGCTAATTTATTTTTTATTTTTTATTTTTAGTAGAGATGGGGTGTCACTATGTTGATCAGGCTGATCTCGAACTCCTGACCTCATGATACACCTGCTTCAGCCTCCCAAAGTGTTGGGATTACAGGCATGAGCCACTGCTCCCAGCCTGCTGGCTCATTCTCTTTCCGGCAGCCCACTGTGACTTGTCTTTCAGAGTGTATCACCTCTTTAAACACGCTGCTACCGCCACTGCTCCCAGCACGGTCAGGCCACTTCTCTCTTGAAGCGTACTGTTTCCTTAGTATGTCTTTGCTTACTTTACTAATTGGTCTCTTGGCCAAATTCTTTCTCCCAAGAAGCCTAAGAACCGAGAACTCCACATATCCTGCTAACAGTCCCACCTCAGCCTCCTGAGTGGCTTGGACTACAGGCATGCACCACCATGCCTGGCAAATTTTAAAAAAGAAAATTTGTGTGTGTAGAGATGGGGGTCATGCCATGTTGCCAGGCTGGTCTCCTGTTGGTCCTCCTCTCCTGCCTTGGCATTCCAGAGTGCTGGGATTACAGGCATGAGCCACCATGCCCCACGCTCATCTAAATTTTTAGAGGAGTTGGACTTAGTCAAAGAGAGGATTGGTATTTCAGGAAGGAAGAGCATCAAATACATGAAAAATGTTAAATGCCACGGCAGATACTAGAAAATACAAGAAATAAGTAATATTACAGTGTAAAACAACACAAGGTGAGATGTAGAGGGAATTAAGGCAAAAACATGTGTAAGGAAATTGGACTGTATGAGGATGAAAGGTATTTAAAATGAGTGAAATGACAAGCTCAGGCAGTAGTAGGACATCAGAGAATGGTGGCCAGCATGCTGCTAGAAGCTTCCTTAGGGAACTACTGAATTGACACACAGTAAAGATAGACAACGGCGGTAGGGAGAGCAAGAAAAGGGTGGAAGAACAAGGCTTGGAAGGTAAAACTGGCAAGACTTGATGCAAAGGTATGACGAGGCGGTTGGGATGGATGGATGATTACTGTAACGAGCTAGAGAATTCAGCTGGAAGAACAGGTTTTGGGGAAAGGCGGAGCTTGACTTTCAACAAGGTAATTTTGAGGTACACACACTCCACTACTATAAAAAGCACTGTGTTATCACCACTGTACTACTTGAGTTGCCTGATGGGAGGATTAGTTTCTTATTTGGCAAATGGTAGAGCTTGAATGTGAAACCAGCTTTTTAAACGCCAGAACCAGCCATCATTCCACTATGTGTGCTCCTTTCAAAGCAGGCAGTGCTCACAAAATAGCGTGAATGAAAACAAGCACAGCTGGCTAAAATGAGGTGGCAAATGTCAAGAGAGAATAATGGAGTAAGTATGCTAGAGATAGAGGGACTGGGATCCCATAAGTAGCAGAATCATGGGGCTTGAATCCAGCTAACCCAAATTTGGAGAATACAAATGGAAAATAATAATGTGTAAAGATTATGCACACTTCAAGTCACCTGTCTGTTGAAAAAGGTAATAGAATGTGAGCCCTGAACAGCCCTATACATTCTTGCTGGATATGCCAATGTGAGAAGTAAAGTAACACCTTTTCCTCACCAATTGCAAGGATTATAGCGGACACTCCTAATCACAAAAGACAGATTCACAAGAGAATAGCATAACAAATTTATTTAACTACATTTTACGTAGCACAGGAGACTTCAGAAACGAAGACCCAAAGACCCATGGAAAATTGTGTATGCTTATGCTTGGGCTATATGAAGACGGGACAGTTGTGTAGAAATGTGATTGGACAAAAAGGCATATGATCTAATGGTAATAAACTACAGGAAACTCAACAATGCCTGTTTGTTCAGATTCTCATTGGCCTTTCTGTGCAGCACTTCTTTCCTCTGATACAGAGCAAGACCCCAGTCTGATACAAGACCCTCTTGAAGGAGGGTCTTATAACCTACTTCCAGGAAAGATAGGTCAAAGAATTCCTTTATGGCCAACTCACACACAGGAAGGTCGGGGGAGGTCAGAGTCACCTTCTTGCTTCTGTAGTTTTCTTAATTGCCAATGTGCTACATTTTGGGATGTTGTGTTCTGAGCCCCAACACTGAGAAATAAAGCCTGGGCAACTCTTTCTAGGCCATTTCTCAGGGTTATGCTTGCAAAGAGAATCCTTGAGAAACGAGGCAATATCTTTCTCTGGCACAAAGGGACAGCTGTTTACTGCTTGCTATAAAGCAGCAGATTCCCCGAGCTCAATGTCCTCTCCTGTAATGCAACTCATTGCATGTGCAGGCATCCATCTGAGCTACTCTGTGTTAGTCCCATGGGACTTGGCAGTGGGAGGCAAGAACAACTGACACAAACATGCTGCTGGTCATGCTTTCTGTACTATGAGTACTAAAGCCTTCCTCTCTCTTCCATGAGTCAGATGTCTTCTGCTAACATTCATGAAATAATAACAGATTGATGTATTTGCCAAAAATATGGTAAAATCAAGTCCCAGATCATGACCTTCCCTACTCTGTCAATTTTGAGTCATGGTATTCAGTTTCCTCTTAGCAACTCACTGGAGCCCCCTTAAGAGCCAAGAGATAAGTAGGGATGGAAGAATAAGGTCAAGGAGCTCATTGGTCCAGTCCCCTTTGCGCTTGAGCAGGCCCCTCTTAGCCTTCTCCCTCCATTCTCATTGTGTCTTCATGATGCAAGAGGATGACTTCAGAAAGCAGCTTGCAGCAATCCCGGAAGATTTTGGTTCTCTTAAGCAGAGTGAATGAGGTCAGGTCATTCAGGGTCTTCCGAAAAGCTCAGCATCTAACTTAGACTCAACCATTTCTCTTAAATCTCCCTCTCTCTGGGTTACTGATGATGCTTCTCACCCTGATCTTTCACTGTGTCACCTGTGTCAATCAATAGTCCAGAATCACCACTACTGATAGGGACAGAGAAAGCAGAAGTCTGAGATAGGAAATGCAAAACCAACCTTTTTTTTTTTTTAAATGTATAGCAATCTGTTCATTGCTTTCTCATTGTTTTTATAACACCTTCCACATGGTGAATAATCTTTTGCTCTGGACTGAGACCCAAAAGGCCTTCCTCAGAGGCAGAGTAAATCTGAAATAAACCAGCTCATGCAAGGCTTGGTTTACTACCATCTGGTGATTCTGAAAACCTCAAGCCTTAAACTTGAATTAAGTTGCTCCCAGATTGCTAGCATAAGCCCAGATCAAACAAGTCTTTTTTTAAGAGGATGATTACATAATTCTGGGCTTCAAAATATTTATATAAATTATTTTTCAAACACAACACCAGCACTTAGCGATGGTCAGAAACATAAGGAGTTTAGACCATGAATAAGAACAGAAACAACAAACAACAGAAATAGATCCACAGGGAATTCGCATAACGGCACCGTTAGATCAGGCTGTAAAACAACAGTGTTTTGCAGAAACTCCTAGGCATGGTTTATGTAATCTTGAATACAGCATAAACTCTTACATAACTAACCACTTGTTTTCTCCTTTTGAGGTCTTTCCACCTTCTGAGGTCTCCCTCATTTTACATTTTCAAGAATCTTTTCTCTTTTTTCACAGACATTTTCTTTTCTGTTTTCCAAGTTGCCCAAATTTCCTGAAAGTGGTTAAACACATCAAATCTGAAGACAGCCTGTCAGGATTTGAATCCTGGCTCCACAGTTTACCCAGAGGAAGTTACTTAACGTTTAAGCCTCAATTTCTACATCAATAATACCTAACCTTCCTCATAGAGTTGTTATCAAGGTTAAATTAAGATAGGCAAAGTGCTTATAACAGTGGTTGGCATTAGATAGTGCTCAATTACTATTAGCTATTAAAACTCCAAACCACCAAGCTTTAGTGTCGACATTATGTAGTCAGGGCACATAACCAGCAGCAAGTCTTCACCTGGAACTTCTGTTCTGGGTTTCATTTTCCCCTAGGGCTTCTCTGATGTCAGTCTCTCCTGTTACCACTTGTCTAGGGAACCAATATCCCTCTAAGGCTATGGTATGAGCT